CAACCCCAACCCCAACCCTAACCCCAACCCCAACCCTAACCCTAACCCCAACCTAGATGTTGAAATATTACTTCGAAGTCCACTACAAAACAAACCCAAAATCTAAACATGCACCTTGCTTGTATGCAATACTTATTCAATGAAAGTTTACTTTAAATATAGTTATTTGCAATATTACCGTGCAACATATTTTTTTCAATAAAAACTCGTGTTTGGTTGGAATACATTGAGGCAAATGTTGAAAAAATTGAAATTGAAAATGTTATTTATTTATTTATTTATCATTGGTCTTCTTTCTTGCTTCATTATTGAGAAGCCGCAATATTTATTGTAATCAAGTATTTTGTACAATTTTTAGCTTAGCAAAATTTGACCTTATTCAAAATTCTATTCGCAATGATGTTAGTAGAGCATTGGAAGCGTAGCAACGGTAGCTTTTACTTCTGTAATTTTATTTTCTCTCAAACAAATAGTTCCAAATGTTTTTTTTTTGTAATTACATTTTCCATTTGGAAAATGAATAAATGTATGCACATGATTGAATTTGTAAATGAAAAAACCATGCAAATGGTAGTGCACCTTATTTAACGAGGCATTTAACAAGATTTGATGTTCTTCGAAGTCAAAAAGAAATAAATGGGTAAATAAAGAACAAAAAAAGGAAGATGAANGTAGGGGTGGAAACGAACCAAATATTTAATAAACAATTGGGTTAATATCCGTCCGGATATTCGTTCATATTCGATCCTACAGTTCATTTAAAACCAAATAAATATTTTTCAGTATTCGGCTTATAAACTAATAGAATTCAACTAAAGGTATATTCGATTTAACTGATAACTTTTTGTATGTTAATCCTATTAATTAAACTTGTTGCAAATATTACCTATTAAAATTTTTGTTATAACTTCTACACCATATATAAATACCATCATTGAGTCTCCACTTTCCGCCTATTAATTATACTTGTTATGAATATTATCTATCAAAATTTTTATTACAACTTCTACCCCAGGTATAAATAAATAGACATGTTAAAGGGGTCTAGGGTTTTCACCATGACTGAGTTTCCACTTTCCGCCTCCAACCAAATATCTATTTCTCTCTCTCAGCTAGGGTTTCCTTCCTCCCCGGCGACGCCGTCCGCCCTCCCCGCGACGACGCCCTCCTCGACGACTCTCTCTTCCCTCTCCGAGGACCTGCGCTCCTCTCTCTCCGACGCCCTTCTCCTTCCACAACGCTGTCCTCCCTCCCCGCGACGACGCGCTCCTCCCTCTCCGACCACGCCCTCGTCCCTCCACGCGACGACGCCCACTTCCCTCGATCTCTGTAGATCTTGGAGATTTCGTGCCGTGATTCTCTGCTTTTTCTCACTGGAAAGGTAGAAACCCCTTTTGCAATTAATCTGTGTACTTTTTGAGTCTGCATTTCCATATTCATTTAGTTTAACAACTTATTTTTTACAATCGGCTTTTCTTTTGACCTCGATCTCTGTCAGCTTTCTTTCAGCAATTTTTCGCTTCATTAGTTTCACAATCGGCTTTTCTTTTGACCTCGATCTCTGTCAGCTTTCTTTCAGCAATTTTTCGCTTCATTAGTTTCATCCATGTATTGTTTGATAAATTATAGATGGGTCAGCTTTCTTTCAGCAATTTTTCGCTTCATTAGTTTCATCCATGTATTGTTTGATAAATTATAGATGGTAGTACTATGTTGTGCTTTTGGGATGATTCAGTTATAAAATATGCAATGCGTTGATTCGATTATGTTTTGGGTGCTCAGTGTTACCTCCATTATAAATAAACTGCAGGGTGACTGAGATATCAAAGTCCAAAAACTTTGACAATCTTAGTAATTGTTCTGCTTGTATAAAAAATATATTACACTGCTTTATTGTATTTTGATTGGTAGAATATAAAATTACATTTTGTTTACTGATTATATTTATTTTTTTATGATTTTTGAATTATTAGCGAATGCATATCGAATATTTGACGAATAATTCGAAATCAAAGTTGCAGAATAATGCTAATCGAATATTCGCGAATTTTTTCGAACATCAATATAAATAAACGAAGCGAATTCGAATTTGTATTACTAATCGAATTGAATTCGAATACAAACACTAATAGCACCGTACAAAGCCGAACTCGAATTTGAACCTTGCACTATTCGTTCAATTTCTGTTCGATTCCACCCCTACCTACACATGAGAAAATCTAAGACCAAGTCACTCAGTGGGTTTGATTAACACAGCCACGACCCAATTACTTGGGGAAGCCCACATTTCACAAATGGTTTTACGAATTGTTTCCACCTTTGCTTAATCCCTAGTCCTAAATTGTTTCCTGGTCTTTAAAACCTCACGCCAAATTTCTACTTAAATTTCTAGGGTTTATCTTGATCTTCACTGGCGATGGAGAAGACATCTTCAATTCTATTCTCCGGCCTCCGATTCGATAAGAAGAGGTTCGCCAATGACATCGCTCGATTCAAGGTAACAATCTCCTCTCTTTCTCCAAAATTCACTTTTTCCTTCGAAATCTTTAAATCTCACCCTTTTGTAAAAATTTCAGCCAAAAGATACAGAGAAGGAGCTGAAATTAGAGGAATTTGAGGCGATTGAGTCACCGGCAGTAACCAAGAAGGAGAAGAAGCGGAAGCGGAAAGAGCATGGCGTTGGTAAACTCCGCACTTATAGCTGTGCAAAAAGTTTTGATTTTTACATAGTATTTATTTATTTTTTTTTTTTGGGGAATTGTGATAGCTGAGATTGTGGAGGCCTTCAGTGTGTTTAAGAGCTCAGAGACGGTGAAGGAAAAGGTTCAGAAATCCAGGGAATTAGAAGATGATTCTTCTCAGCTGAAGAAGGAAGTAGAGAAGCAGATTGAGGTTTTAATTTTCTATTTTCCTTTCCAATCTTCTATTCTGCTTTGGGTTAAAATTTGCTTTTATTACAATGGAAAAAAAACTGTTTTGTTTCAGCAAGCTGCAATTCTTCGAAAGAAGTATGGGCTTCACATTTCAGGTTGTAATGTTCCATCCCCGCTTCAAGGTTTTGCAGAATTAAGCTCAAGGTATGATTGTTATTGATGGTATGTTATAATGTTCTTGTTACTGGACAGATTCAGAAAAGGCCTCAAAATATACTTTGTGTTAGTTTTATTAAAAATTCAATTATAATTTGAATAAACTAAAGAGCCTGCAAAATTAGCACTAAAGTTGATAAGTTATCATACTTTAATCTAGTTGATCATAAATTCACATTACATATGATTTACATCAGCGAATTATTTTTCATTACATAGAAATAGTTCTTTTTTGCAAAGTAACTCTAAAATGGACTTGGGAGGAGCTATACTCACTGCCCTACTTCCTTACGTGCTAGGTAGATGTCCCACAGGATGGTAGGGTGTGCACTGTGGGACCTGACATGTCTTAGCCATCAAAACTAACATACAAAGAGGGATATTAGAGGATAGCAGAAGGCGCAACCTAATGCACCAAAGTACAAGAAAAATATGTAGAGAAAAAGGAGGATTTTTAGTATATAAATCCGTGATGACCAATCATGAAATCATTGAAGTGATTGAATCAATAGATGATCAATCCGTGATGGTGCGAAATGATTGCTAGCTTCTTTAAAGAAACAAAACTGAAAAAGAATATAAGAACCAAAGGGGAAAACAAGGACAACCAGAAACACAATTCTCAAATTAGGCTGACAATCAAGGTTTTAAATATCGGATGTCGGGTTCATGTCGCTCGGCCAAAATTCATGTCGGATAGCGGAAATCGGGGATATATCGGGGGACATGAAAAAAATATCGGATTGCCATATCGGATAGGTTGATATAATATCATAAATGGAATCTTCACATACTTGATAATTATATTGTCTAAACATATGAAAAAGTACATATGAGAAGGTCTTTATTTTCACAAGCAACCACCAAGTTTTTGCTTTTGCAAAGTACATATGAGAAGGTCTTTATTTTCACAAGCAACCACCAAGTTTTTGCTTTTGCATAGAAAACCAAATAGACGCTAGAACAACTTAACTGCATATGTTTAGACAATTCTTATTAAAGTATAATAATTATCCAGAATATAAAAATTACTAATACAATTCTTTATACACAACTTTATTTATTAATGTAAAGATTTATTAATTGTTCAATTTAAGAATTTATGTTATTATAAAAGTCACTTCATAATTTTACACTCAAAGAAAAAGATTACAAAAAAAATGTTCACATACAAAGCGCGTGCATTATACTAGTAGGAACAAAAAGAAAATTCTACTGAAATTGAAAATTAAACTCGTAATTGCTATTCTAAACTACTTAACTGCATCGACTAACAATTGCAGGATTTTTATTATATATCTGTCATTTCTCCAAACAAGAAACTAGTAAAACCGAAGTATATGTGCACCTAATACAAATAAATTCATGTGTTCTTATAGCCTTCCATTATAAAGAAAACACATGCAATAACAAGTAATTAAAACCTACAACAAGCACCCATATGGGTAGTGGATGGGAAACAATGTGAAACTTTACATAAATAGAAGGTGAAAGATATTGCAAATCATATGATTTCAACATGTCAATGTGAAACCGATATTTCTGAATTTTGGCCGATATTTGATGGCCGAAATGTCGCCCGATATATCCGCTATTTTCCGACATGTCCCCGACATGACCTCAAAAACGCCATACGCATTAAATTCAACAATTTCGTGGCGGCTAGGCTCCGAATCCGCAATATCGCCCGCCATGTCCGACATGGCGGCCGATATTTAAAACACTGCTGACAATAACATGATAATTTGCAATCAATTTGATTCGTAGAAAATATCTTCGTTTCTGTTAAAATTAATCATATGTATTTAGTAAAGACTATGCATAGAGGCCTAAATCAAAAGAACCATATTTCTAGTGGCATTCAAATTCTAATACAAAGACGACGATAACAACAAAGTTCAACCTTTTTGGGGTCGGCTAATGATTTCTACTCTTTTATTCAATTTTGTTGAGTGCTATCTACTCCGCTAAATAAAAAAATAAAAAAAAGTTCTAAACAAACTTAAAACTTCTAAATAAAGATAAAGGTAGATCTAAACTTGTAACCCTAACCGAATCTAAATTTAAGATAAACGTGTATTCGTTAAGACAGTTTGACTCTTTAACACTAAGGTAGGCTCAGTAGATTTTTGTGATTCAGTAGACTCCCATTGAGAATGGTTATGAATCAAAGGGTCGGTAAATCAAAGTACCGATTGTTGTGTTGCTAGTTGTCAAACCATCAAACGATAATGATGCAATTAAAAGTGAAAGAAAGGAAATTACATCTGGAATGGGACAACATGGAATTGTGTATTATATGTGAAATCAATTTTAAAGATTACTCCCAGATGATAGATAAACATGGAGTTAGAGATGGCAATGGTATTTGTAAAACGTATATGTTGTAGGATTGTTAATTTTTCATATTTTATTAAACCCAAAACTAGTCACTTAACTAGCACGTGCATGAGAGAGGAAGTATGGTACATAGTTGCAAAGAAACAGATACTGAAAATTTTCAGAGTGGATTTTAGTTAGTTTTCTTTATCCTCTATAATTCATCAAGCTACAGCTTCCATTGCTCAGATCTGATTGAAGTGTGTTCTCTTTACTAATGTCACCTCTCGATGTTATACAATGTAAAAAAATGATTCTCCACCAGTTATTGGGTAACACATCGATAAACAGTTATATGTTAGTCGTCTTTCTCAGTAGTGTCTTCCCTTTCATTTTTTCGGTGGTAATGCAGTATATTCTTTTCCTTATTCCTTTTATCAATGGAGTAGCATTCTCATTGTTTTCCTCCTTTAACTTTTACTGTAGGTATGGTTGTAAATCATACTTATTACGTAATTTAGCAGAGCTTGGGTTTAAAGAACCTACACCTATTCAAAGGCAGGCTATTCCTGTACTCCTTTCAGTAAGCACCTGCAACCTTTGCTCACCTACATAATTTACTATTCTTAATAGCTTACTTCTACATTTATCTTAATAGCTGGCATTTACATCTATATCAAACTATTTCTTGTCTAAATGCTTCAGGGACGGGAGTGCTTTGCTTGTGCCCCAACTGGGTCTGGCAAGACGCTGGCCTTCCTTTGTCCCATACTTATGAAAATTAAGGTATCATTTGCAAGTGCAGTACATTTTTTCCATGTATCTTGTTTCAATTTATTTCATGATTTCTTTTAACTGACTAGCCAGGATCCACGGATGGAATCAAAGCTGTAATTCTTTGTCCTACCAGAGAATTAGCTGCACAAACTACTAGAGAGTGCAAGAAACTGACAAAAGGAAGAAAATTCTACACTAAATTAATGACTAAGGAGCTTTCTAGGTCTGGTGATTTTGCAAAAATACCTTGTGACGTTCTTGTGACTACTCCTCTTCGTCTGGAATTTGCTATACAGAAAAAGAAGATTGATCTGAGAAGGTGTGTCTATGTTTTCTGCATATTTGATGAGATTTTTCATTCTTAATTCTCAGAACATAATGGCTATTGTATGGATTTTTTTTTTGGTTTCTTCTATTTCCGTTTCACATATCTATTACTTAAACAGAAACATAAGAAAAGTTTGATACCTGTTCATATTGGCTATGAAATGAATGTAGTGTTGGGAAGGGGAAGCACAGAGGTGATATTAATCATACATGATAAGTCAATTGTCTATAAATCAAAGAAAAAAAATTATTAAGGAGGGTATGCGGTCAGGTAGATGTTTTTCTGTCACAGTTTTGTCACTGCATGAAAATGGAATCTTGAACAACTCGGACAAAAAGATAACTGACAAATAGTCAATTGGGAGTTACTCTTTGCATTGTTTTTAAAGGTGTAGCTTGATTGTAAAACGATTCAGAAAATGACATCATATTATCTCTCTGGTCACCATTTTTAATTATCTGAAACATATATTGAACGTTTATCAACTAATAGATATTAGCGTATATGGATTCCTAGGATCAGACTGTAACAGCGTTATTTCATATGATAAAAGATGTGGTGACGAAGTCTGTAATGTTTGGTTATGAGGTATGCAACAGCTATTCTCATCTTGCAAAATTACTCCATATCCTTGTTATGCTTCACTTTTCAAGATCAATATGTAGACTTGATTGTGAATGCAGAGTATCATGATTACAACAGCTGCCTTTATCCCAATATTCATGGTTGGACATGTATTCCACTATTCCTTTTCTTATTCTCCATTAAAGCTTATTCCTCTCTTAAAGAACTATCCATGTTTGCACCTAGTCATTGGCACACTCAATACCATCCTATCAGTCTTAACCGGAAAACATCATGACTGTCGGTGTGCATATCATTTGTTCGACTATTCTATTTTGTATACTTAATCTTTTCTTTTTCCATCTGAACCGCCCAATGAACTATGTTTTATTGTTGACTGAAGATGTCTCAATTTCTTTCTGATGCACTCATTTCATGGTCTCAACTTTTAGCATATTACCACTCATCCATCTCTACATTCTTTATCGTTGCTCATCTTTTGAATGTGTTTCTAGATCTGAACATTCTGATCCATGAATCATTATGGAGCACTTAAAAGTTTTTTGCCTTCGTTTGTTGGTTTTCAATGATGACATAATGTTCAGGGACACATTCATCATTTCAACCACCTGGGTTTGGTTTGTGCTCATCCTCCTCCCCTGTCTCATGAAAGGTCGATACTAAATACTGAAATTACCACTCAGTATTTCTGACCCTTAACATGCACTACACCCTCATTTGTTTTTCTTTGAGGTTCTAGTATTATATTTAATTTGTCATCCTTTCTAAATCTAAATCATTCAGTCTCTAAAATTTCACTGCTTTCTACTTTAAAATTTATGTCATCTCATCAAGTAATGCAGTATCAGTCAGCAACATGCACCACAGGATTTCATCTCTCGTACTTAAAGATTTAAACATTTATCTATGTTTCTTTCCCTTTTCATTCCCCTTATTTTGTTATGGGTCTTGTAATGAGATGTCATTTCATTGGTTTGCTTGACCAAACTCCAACGCTAGAGGAACAAAAACCTATCGTCATGCAACTATTTGGAGTCAACCAAAAATGTGAAAACTTGTCTGAGAGTTCGTCAGTTTTTGAAATTGCTTAGTGGAAAAGATGATAAAGAAACTTTACGAGGTGAAGTGTAAAAGCTTGGTAAATTCAGCAGCATAAGTAAGACTCAAATTGCTGAGCTAGTATCTCATTTTGCAGAAGCATCCCTCTCTATGTTTTGAGATGTTCAAGTTTTGAATCAAGTTCTTTGAACGTAATTATAGGATGTTTGTAGGGAAAATAGAATTATTCTCTGAAATATTTGGTGGGATAAAGCACAACGTCCAAAAATGGTGATTTTATGTTTCATATATGTAGTGTAATTTTATCTTGTATTATTATTCTTTGCAGGGTGGATTTCCTTGTTTTGGATGAATCTGATAAGCTATTCGAGCTTGGCTTTGTGAAACAAATAGATTCTGTGGTCAAAGCTTGCTCAAATCCTTCCATAATACGTTCTTTATTCAGTGCAACGTTACCTGATTCCGTTGAAGAGCTTGCACGCTCAATTATGCATGATGCTGTTCGGGTGATTGTGGGTAGAAAGTGAGTATAAATACAGTCTATATGCAGTCTTATCTCATTTGGTTTCTAAAAAAATTCTCTAGTTCATGAGATTTATTGCTTGAGTCTGTAGGAACTCTGCATCAGAATTGATTAAACAAAAACTGATTTTTGCTGGAAGTGAAAAGGGAAAGCTGATTGCTTTAAGACAAAGTTTTGCAGAGGTATTTAGCCAGTTTATCGCTATTTCCTTTACAAGACATATAAAGCTTTTAGATGTGTTAAATGAAAGTCGGTAAACTATGGTCAAATTTGACTAAAGTAACACAGAAACCACTTATTATTTGCTTTTAGTTCCTAGTCATGCTGCCTTTGCTTCTTTACTGCATATGCAGAGTAGTCTGCATAAATACCTCTACTATGCTGTCTGTTATTTTGTTTGTAAACATAGCGGACATGGCGGTTAGCCAATTCTGGTTAGTAACTTTATTTCAATAGTGAACTTGAACTGCTAGTGCATTTGTGGGTACCAAACTTTGCTTATGCAAAATATGCACGTCATAATACCAGTTTTCGTTGCTGGAAAGAAAAACGTACTTTGAGATGCTTATTCTATTCGTTCTTTCTATTCTTAGTGTTAATAACTTCCAAGTTTCTTGTTGATTTTTAACTTGAGTGCTTACTTGCTGATTCTCATGTTATGTTAACATGCAGTCTCTGAATCCTCCTATATTGCTGTTTGTCCAAAGCAAAGAAAGGGCAAAGGAGCTGTACAAGGAATTGTCATTTGACAACATAAAGGCTGATGTGATTCATGCTGATCTTACTCAAGAGCAGGTAACACCTATATGCATTTTTGCACATAAAAAACTACGTACAGTATGCTTATTCTAGCTTAGTTATTATATTTTCCTTCTTTTTTCTTCCCAGAGAGAAAATGCAGTTGATAACTTCAGAGCGGGCAGGACATGGGTTTTAATAGCAACTGATGTCATTGCTCGAGGAATGGATTTTAAGGGTGTCAACTGCGTGATTAATTATGACTTTCCTGAGTCAGCTGCAGCGTATATTCACCGAATTGGTAAGTCACGCCCAACCTTGCTTACTAAATCATTCTTATGGTAATTAGCAAGTATCTCTGAAAGTAATATCATTCCATGAACAGCTCCAAATGAGACACATTCTTCAAATAAAATTCAAGTAATTTGATCCAAAACAATAAATGTGCTGTTATTTTTTTATTTAAGAAAATTTTGTGCAAATATAATTATTCCCATGCTTTCAAGCGCACGCAGTTGTCTGTGAGATGGCTAGTCATAGTTTATTAGCTAGCTTAAATTTCATGAAGAAGACAACACGAGGAAACAATTTGTGAACTTCTTGATATTGCCTTCATACTCTGATTACTCGATTTCTGGGCAAATGGCAACTAAACTATCAATTTTTCTTCCCTTAGGTCGATCTGGAAGAGCTGGGAGAAGCGGGGAGGCTATAACATTATACACGGAAGAAGACAAGCCATTCCTACGAAACGTAGCCAATATAATGGCAGCTTCAGGGTGTGACGTTCCTTCTTGGATTCTAGCATTGCCCAAGCTCAGGCGCAAAAGACACCGACCTCAGAGGGATGCAATATCAACCTTACCAGAAGACAATCCAGAGTAAAAAGGGAACATGCCATTGAAATGAGGGAAGATTTCTGTGGGAAGTATCTGACTGGTTCTGATGATTTCATCTGTTGATTAAGTTCTTGTTAGGCGTAATTCCTATTCCAATGACTGGAGAGGCTGACGTTTTCATCTCCTGGCAATGGCAGGTGCATGTTTATGTTTGAGAGAAGAGAGGCTTAAAAGGTTTAAAGTTATACGTCTAAGGTTGTTCTTCCATATTTAATTTGTCAAAAAACTGTTCTGCTTGTAGAAATTTGCACAAAAATTGAGCATTTTAGTAATATGAAGTTCTATGAAAGCAATGGACATTTCATACCTATAGTAGCCTTTGCATGGTTTTTTTTTTAATTTTAAATTTTTATTTGAATACACGATTGATGTAATTTGAATCTTGTTTGTTTTGATAACGGCTTAAAGTCTCTTTTACTGCACCAAAATTCTACAATTGTGATGAAGATTAATGATTATACTTTTATACCCTAACAAGAAACAATTAGACCTTCAGCCTTCAGAGATCATTCAAGAACTTGGAGTTTGTTTCTGCATGAAATGTTTATGGTTATCGCACGAGTATTGATGGGGAGATGAGAACTCAACTGGGAAGAGAAGAAAGCTAAATTTTTTTAAATAACCGTATAGTTAAAAAGATTTTGAGTTGCTGAGGGAAGATATTGGTAGAATTACTAGTGTTTTCGCTGAGGGAAGATATTGGTAGAATTACTAGTGTTTTCATCTTTGTTTCGTGCTCCCTTTCCACTACTAGAAGGGAGGCATTTGTGTAAAGAAAATCTGCTCACCTAGTATTTTTAGTATTGTGTAGGGTTGTTAAATGGGTGGGTTTTGGGTGGGTCATAAATGATATTTGTGCATATTTGTCTGTTTATGACCCATTTAATATTTGCTAAATGGGTTGGGTCACTTCTCACGGTCTCACCCACCCATTTATTAAATGGGTGGTTGATGGGTGACCCAATAATCCATTTAATATATAAAAAAATTTAAGAATCTATTTTTTTAACCTTACAAATCATACATGAAATTTAAAATTTTTTAATAACCCCATATAAATTTAAAATTTACAAAAAATATTTTTTAAAGTTTTAAAAAATACAAAAAACACCCTCATGGGTTTAGAATTATAAAAACAGTCTTGAAATTTGAAAACCTAACTAAGGTACATGAAATCTAAAAATTATCAGTAGCCTCCTGTAAATTTATAATTTGTAAAAAAACACTCAAAGTCTGGAAACTTGTAAAAAACACCCCCAAGATTAAAATTACAAAACAATCTCAGAATTTTCTAAACTTACAAATGACACATGAAATCTAAAAAATTTCAGTAGTCCCCTATAAATTTAAAATTTACAAATAACACCCAAATAGTTTTAGAAATTGTGAAAAACATCCTCAAGAGTTTAGAATTGCAGAAACCACCCTTTAATTTTAAAACCTGCAAATGACACATAAAATCAAAAAATTACCAACAACCCCCTAAAAATTTATAATTTGTAAAAAACACCCTTAACAAAAATTTCAAAAAAAAAATCCTCAAGAGTTCAAAATTACAAAACAATCTCAAATTTTTCTGAACTTGCAAATGACACATGAAAGCTAAAAATTTCCACTAGTCCCCTATAGATATAAGATTTATAAAAAAACACCCTCAAAGTTTTAAAAATGCAAAAAAACACCCTCAAAAAGTTTAGAATTACAAAAACCACCCTGAAATTTCACATGTATGCAATATGTATATGCTTTAATAAGTATTTATAATTTTTGAACAAATTAAATTAACCTGCTCATTTTCCAGCTCATTGGTACTATTTGACTTACATTCATGACCTTCGCATTTTCTCCATGATCTGCACTTTTTATTATCCTTCAATTCTATCATAAAATCTTCATTAGTAATCTACTAATGTACCACATTCTCAGATGCCTAGGATAGTCTAGACTATATTTATAATTAAATTCGTCTTGATGCTCTGTAATAGATTCGACGTTATGTAATAGAATCTTTTTAGATTCCTCAAAAACACTTATTGATTTCGCCACTAATTTATACTCCCATGATCCCATTTTGTAGTACCTCTTAGACCATCTCCAATCGGGCGTTATTTTGCCGCAAAAAGGGGAAATGCCGCTGATGACGAGCTCCAACCAGACGCCAAATCCCTCTGCATTTTAGCGGTGATGAACAGCGCGACGCCATATTTGGCGTCGCACTGTTCATCACCCCATTACTGTTTGTTTTTATTTTTTTATTTTTCTTTTTTTTATTTTACCTTATACTTTTATGTATTTACAATTTGACCCTAATTGTTTTATTAAATGTATAAAACAACTCCAATAATATTTAAATTTTATAATTTTACCCCAATTGTATAATTTGGACAAAATAAATTATTTTTTAAAATTAAAAATAATGCTAAAATTTAAAAGACATTATTATTAATTATAATATTAAAATCTAGATATTAAGTAAAGTCCCATGAAATATAAAGAGCAATCCTAATACATAATTCAAATATAAATTACATATCTGAAATACATAACATATAAAAACTAACACGCATAATATAAAACTTCATTAAAATAAAACATAAAATACAAACTAAACATGGAACATTTCCTGAGATGGACAAGCAACTCTCAATAATCTGATAGATCGGGGCCAGAGTGTCCAATATCATTGAAATAATTGCCAAAATTAGAAGCAGACCCTTGTTCTTGTTGATTTCTTTTTTGTATTATTTTAATCTGTTGAGCTCGAACGTACTCACGCACGTTTGGATCAGCAATGGAATTCAAATCTTTCATTATAATTTTCCATTCATCTCTATCTTTTTTCATGGCTATCTTTTCTCGTTCGATATCAAATGCTTCTTGCCTGTCCAAGCTCGCCTTGTCTAACCTGTCTATAAGTCGGTTGCTGGAGGTCTCGATGGAGTCCACTACACTTGACTCATGATCATCATTTTTCCTTTTCAATTTAGCTTTTTTTACCCCAATAGGTCGTTCAGATGGAGTAAATGATGATAGTCCAGGAGATGTTGATATAGGAGATTCCGGAGTGGGATTATCTGATTGTGACGAGTCGAAGTTCACACTTTGGGATTGTCTTCGACCAACTTGTCTTGCTGTGGGGACATCATCTTTGAATTTTTCAAAATTTTTAACCATATTCCAGACATGATCAAATTTGAAACCTTTTTTGTACTTTGGTTCTTGCATAAATAACATCTTTGCTCGAACTAACTGCAAATTATAGTGAACATCAAGTTATGTATTTCAACAATAATAATAAAATTCAGACGATAATTAATAGAATACTTACAATATCTTCATCTGAAGCACCACTTGGATTCAGATTCTCTACTTGTCTCAAGCACGCATTCAATTTCCTTACTTCATTACTTATGATTTCCATTCGAGAACGAATTGATCGGCTCGTACGCATCTCAAAATGCTGATCTCGAAGTTCATTGTATTTGTCCTCCACACGAGACCAAAATGCATCTCGAGACTGGTTTCTACCGATAATAGGGTCTTGAGAAATATCCAAGAATACTTGACAAAGGAGCACATCTTCAGTAACCGTGTACCCAGTTGATCGAACAGACATTTTTTTGTAAAAAGCGGTTGGTTTGGAGATCAGAAATACTTTGAAGAAATACTTCGAATTGGGTGGCTTGAAGTAGAAACCGTGAATGTTATTTATAGCCAATCCAAATTTGTTTTTTTTGTTTGAATTTGAATTTGAATTTGAATTTGAATTTGCGGTTGGTTTGAATTTGTCGGTGGTCAACATTTGAAATTGAATCATTTTGTACAAACTGATCAGCTTTACACATTATCCAACGTTGTCGGTGGGAATCAATTTTTGAAATCAGGTCAGCTTTACACATTATCCAACGTTGTCGGTGGGAATCAAAATTTGAAATCAGGTCAGCTTTACACATTATCCAACGTTGTCGGTGGGAATCAAAATTTGAAATCAGGTCAGCTTTACACATTATCCAACGTTGTCGGTGGGAATCAAAATTTGAAATCAGGTCAGCTTTACACATTATCCAACGTTGTCGGTGGGAATCAAAATTTGAAATCAGGTCAGCTTTACACATTATCCAACGTTGTCGGTGGGAATCAAAATTTGAAATCAGGTCAGCTTTACACATTATCCAACGTTGTCGGTGGGAATCAAAATTTGAAATCAGGTCAGCTTTACACATTATCCAACGTTGTCGGTGGGAATCAAAATTTGAAATCAGGTCAGCTTTACACATTATCCAACGTTGTCGGTGGGAATCAAAATTTGAAATCAGGTCAGCTTTACACATTATCCAACGTTGTCGGTGGGAATCAAAATTTGAAATCAGGTCAGCTTTACACATTATCCAACGTTGTCGGTTCCTGGTCATGCAGTGATCAACCGCGATCGAGAAAATGCGCATCAGAATTTGGTCATAGATTACTTTGCCGATAATCCACGTTTTGGAGAAGATATGTTTCGTCGTCGATATCGGATGTCAAGAAGTTTGTTCCTTCGTATTGTTGATGCAGTGAAAGATCATGACTATTACTTCCAACAACGAAGTGATGGACTTGGTAGAATGGGATTATCACCGTTACAGAAAGTAACAGCTGTTTTTCGCATGTTGGCATACGGTCTACCAGCTGATGCTACGGACGAATACGTTAAAATAGGTGAGTCAACAGCAATTGAAAGTATGACAAAATTTTGTCGTGCTATGGTGGAAATATTCGCAGAGCGGTATCTACGAACACCTAACGCTAACGATATTGCTAGGCTACTCTATATTGGAAAAAAACGTGGTTTTCCAGGAATGTTAGGAAGTCTTGATTGTATGCATTGGAAATGGAAAAATTGTCCAACAGCATGGTCTGGGCAATACACAGGACGTAGTGGGTCACCAACTATTATCCTCGAAGCTGTGGCAGATTATGATCTTTGGATATGGCACGCATATTTTGGTATGCCAGGCACCAATAATGATATCAATGTGCTGGAGTCATCTAATCTTTTCTCTAACCTAGCTCAAGGTATTGCTCCTCCCGCTCACTATGTTATTCAAGGAAAAGAGTATAATATGGGTTATTATTTAGCTGATGGTATATATCCGAAATGGGCTACTATTGTACAAACAATCCAACAGCCACAAGGTAGGAAGAAAAAATATTTTGCCATGAAACAGGAAGCATGTAGAAAAGATGTAGAACGTGCGTTCGGAGTTCTCCAATCACGATTTGCAATCGTGGCAGGATCAGCACGTTTTTGGAAAAAACATGTATTACATGACATAATGACTGCATGCATTATTATGCACAATATGATAATCGAGGATGAACGTGATCTTTATGCACCAATTCAAGAAGTGAGGGAAGCACCAACACCAGAAGTTGATATGGTAGCAGATGAAACTACAAGATTTACTCAATTTATTGCACGTTACGGAAAAATCAAGGATAAAGATGCCCATATTGCGCTTCGTAATGCATTGATAGATCATCTATGGGAGGAATACACTAATTCAGATAGTTAAGTGCATACTAAATTTGTAATTTTTACATTGTTGTTAATGTTTAATTATTTCCTTGTATTTTATTTCCTGTTGTGTTCTTGAATGTAATATTTTGGCAATATCAATAATAAAAATATAATATTTTAGCAATCAAGTTATTTTAATTAATAAAATAATATTTTATTGTTTTATTAGTTTAATTTTTAAATAATAAATCATTTTGTTTGGAAAATATGTGAAAAAATAAAATTTGATATGTGGGGTTAATTGTTGAAATAGTTAAAAATATAGGGAATAAAAAATAATCATATAAAAGTAGATAAAAAGAAAGATACTGAGAATATTCCTTTTTGGTGCAAAAAATGGTGCAATGGGTTGTAGATGAATTACTGTTAGATGTGACTTTTGTACCATTTTGGTGCAAAATTTGCACCATTTTGAGGCAAAGGGTTGGAGATGCCCTTAATCACACCAACTTATATCCATCGCTAACCTATTAAATTGCCCACTAACCTATCAGTCTCCAGGTGTTGTCCCAAAAGTGGAGAAGCGAGGGCCCAGTAGCTTCTGCACTTGCACCTGCAACGCCTGAGAATTTTGAGGTACATTAGTCATCGTATTTGAAAAGAAAGTTTTGTGATTTCCTATCCTAATTAGTAATTAGAGTGCAAAATGCAGGATCATGAAATTTCCTATTAAGAAACCCTATTTGTTTATGGTGAGTAAGGTAACAAATTTAACTGTCTTTAACGGATTCGGATCCTCTCCACTACAAAAAAACAGTGGAGGGACCACTACATAATCACGACCATTGATTATCTAGTTAATGGTTGTGATTTTTTTAGTGCAAATTAGGAATGAGTGCAATACACGGGGGGTATAGTAAGTGTTAGATTTAGATTGTATCATAACCACCTACTAAATAATCAACGATTAAGATTAAAAGCAGTGGTCTCTCCACTATTTTTTTGTAGTGGAGAGGATCCAAATCCGTCTTTAACTATAATGATTATTATACTTTTTTTAAAAGGGTAGAGTTACAATACATACATGGTGTAACTAAGTTAGTTACACACATATGTAAAACCTAAACCGTTCATTATTATATACATATAATCAAATGGATGTGAGTTAGATATCATGTGGTTTGAAAATTTCTATTCTATTATTCAAGCAACTCAAAATAAATAACACTTTAGAGAGTTATACACCATTCATTTCTAGGCCATTTGAAGTATAAAGTAAAAATATTTAATCTATATAATTTTTTTAATCTCTATGAAGTTTTAAATGCATAAATCAAAATGAATGGTAAATCACTGATATAAAAGATTAAACATGTATTTTTATAGGTACGTGTCACTTACTTAGTAGCACGCCTTGTGTATTATAATTGTACCCTAGATGTTATTCTAAACTTTCACGTGCTGCTTTGCATATGACATGTTTTCGACAATGTTGCCCTATGTTTTTTTTAGAAGTTTTCCACGGCAGGGGTTGGTAAATATTACTCGGGGTCGGGGTTGTTTAAAGCTCTTATCCCACGTTAACACCGTCTATAGAAATTAAATATAGTTCATGATGTTTTTCCTATGATTTTGACGGTTTATGTTATTGTGTTTCGGAATGTTTGAGTGGTTTATTCCGAAAGCTTTTTCAAAATACTTAATAATTAATGAGACTGTTAATACTTAATAATTAATGAAAAATGGGGGACGGTAAAACTTTAATGAATAATTCTTTTTGGACCCAAAATATGGGACACTCAATTGGACAGATGACGTGGAAAAAAGTTTGTGTCGTATAATTTCCAAGCCGGTTAGTTGAAGAAGGAAAAGCAAGGGGTTTTGCGGAATTAAAAAAAGGAAAAAGCAAGATGCCATCGTCTCATGAACTTGTCCTTTACTTTCTTCTCTTTCTCTCCAGACACCTCTAAATCAAGCTCATATACTGTAGCTTTTGAGTAAAACAACACTACTGAGTTATTATCATTGAGTATTAAGGTTTTATGCATTTTTGAGCCTTTTAGTTTGAGAATATTTCAACACTGGAGAGGAAAATTGATGATTCAATCCAATTGATCTATTCATCTACGTACAGATTCATTCGGGAAATCAAGGCCATTCATGTTGAAAATTTTGGGATTTTCTAAGATTGCTATCCCAATAATCTTTATTCAATTTCAATCGCAAGAAAATAAAAGTTATCTTTGCAATTAAAATTCTTGCATGCCATGAGAGGAGCAGTGCTTTACAACAATGATAAAAGGGGTTTCTGCATGGAACACAAGGGGAAGGAGATGGAAGCGGCGTCGGCGAATTTTATGAGCGATTTTTCGGTTGAGATTAGAAGAGACAAAAATGAGTTTAGAGACCGTAATACCCCTATTCTCTTATTAAAGTTAGCATTAATTGTGCCCAGCTCATCACGCCACGCCACTAGTCCCCTTAATCTGTTTTTTTTCTTTTTTCTTTTTTTTGTTCCAACTAGCAATGCTCAGAAAGAAAATGAGGTAGAAATGCTATAAGAGTTGAGAATGAGTATTTTGGAGGACAACTCATATGTTCTCCTATTGGTTCTATATTTTGGGTCCATATAACAAAGCTCGAATGAGATATATCTATACAGCGGAGATGCTTGCCTGCCCACATCCCAAAAACACAAGTGGTTGGAATGCGCTCATGGGCCTGCATCATGGCAGAGAGAATATTTATTGAAAGTAAAGTTATAGAGGACTGTGTCGTGTGATCAGCACAGCACGCACGAGAGTAGCGCTCCCAGCCTCCCAGTCCACAAAACAAAGGGGATGAGCCGTAGGAATGTGTTCAGAGTGTAAAATTATATCCTAAAAATGGTGTAAGATTATCATCCTTAATTCCGAGGCTTTGCTGTAGCGGAGAGAATGTGTAACATGATATATCGAATCAACTAAGGGTGCGTTTGTGAAAAGAGATTTGAATTTGAAGCGTACATTTGAAATCAAAGAATTTCAAAGAATTGAAATCCATGGATTTTACAAATCACTTGTTTGGGTACTTATATCAAATGAAAGAACTTGAAATCTTAGATTTCAAATCAATAGTTTGGATATGCTTTACTATTTACATGTACTTGGATTTGCTTAACAATTAAAGATACTAGAGTATCTCGACATTCCAGTGTCACATTCTTTAATTACTCCATTAACAACTTATACACAAATAAGTGATGCGGCGCAAAAGTGATAAACCTTGGAATCCACTAAGGGTTGTTCTCTGAATCCACAAAGAACGATCTCTGAATTCACGAAGAACTTCGAATCCATGAAGAAAATATTAAAAAGTGATTTTAATGATAAAAAAGATTATGTCTCTAGGTCTTACGATATTCTACTTAAATAGAAAATAAACAAGAACCCTACTGTTGATGTCCGAAATCACACAGTCGATGAGAGCTGTCCGCTGATGACAAAGGGTGAGAGGATGAGAGATGGGGCCGACTTCTCCTCCGACTTTATGTTCAGTCCTTGGACTGGAATTCCTAATTCTTTTGCACAAATAAGAAGAACGAACTCGTAAGAGGGTGGGGCCAGTTTCTCCCGTGATATCTCCGACGGTCAAGTCAGCTGGTGAGCTTGAGTGGGGTTTGAGGGAGAGCCCCGGGACCATTGAGGTCCTTATCAAGGGGTACTCTTTGTGAGTTATTAATAAAAAAAGTTGATCCAGAGAGAGAAAAATGATCCTCCTGAATTCAACCAAGGTCCAACCTCTTCGTAGAGTTAAGATTAGAAGAATAAGAAGAAGATCCCACTTTACCTTACCTTCCTTCCTCCCTTTAATAGTCCGAGTAGACATGCTGCTGAGTCATCCTCCGCTTTACAGATGCCGGCTGGCGACTGGAGGGGAAGTCATTCGAGCACAGGAGATGATATTTCCGATATATCCCGGATTTTGACAGATGAGGCATGGCTGAAGATAGGCTGGTTGTTTAGTTATTCTTTGCTTTACAGATGTCGACTGGCGACTGGAAGGGAAGTCATTCGAGTACAGAGGAGGATATTTTAGTGATATCTGGGAAGTGACTTGTGACCAGAGTGAGTTGTTTATGTCTGAGACTTGTCAGAGTTGAGATCTTGATGGGATCGATTAATGATGTAGTTTGATGTATATCTGAAGAGAGCTTAGTTAGATCTTATCCCCTTGGTAGAAACGGGTTGGTTTTCAAGTCGTCCCTATAATTTACCGACCAGATAGTCGAGTGAGCTTCTGGCCGAAGAGACAGCCGAGTAGATGATTGAGCCGAATATTTGAGGAGTCATCTTGATTATGAGGCGGGGGGGGGCTTGAGGAGTCGTCTTGATTATGAGGCGTCGACTGATAACGCACTTCATATCGGTAAAGATGACTCGTCGCTCAGCGGGTCAGTAAATTCGTTCTTGGCTGGGCTTTGGGCAACTAAGCTGGGTTGGGCCATAGCTCTTTTGGGCCTATGAAGATAGTTTCTCGAGTTCTTTGTTTTTAGATGGTGAATTACCATATCACCTACTATGACTCAAACTTTGCCAAAAATAAAAATAACAGAACTCTCCTTAAAAGACTCTCTAGGATTAGAGAAGTAAATCGGTCAAATTTGGAATCAAACCGGATTTGTTTCCTAATCAAACGGATTTGCTTCCTAACCAAAATAGACTCCTAAAACATTACCTAAAATAGTAAAAACTGATAAAAACTCTAATATCATTCAATCTGGAGAAAATTTCATAAAACAGACGGTGGCAAACTGAACAACGATGGGTTTGATTGACTCCGTCTCGGAAAAATAAGCGATTTACATATATTATTCGTCCAATTCCGACGTACGGTTTGAGATATATGACCCGTTCTTTGTTGCAAATTATTTTTGTTGGTTGGGCCCGCATTTGGATTTTTGACAGTCTCATTTCTCTATAAATATATCTGCATTATGTTCTACATCAATAAGAAATAAATAAAGTTGCAGTAGAGTAATGGAGATAATACAACAGTGAAATTATCAAATTCATACCACTAGCATACGACATTTTTCATCAAGAGAATATGATTTGAAAGTGGAGGCAACATGATTTGGACCTTCTAGTCTTTTTCAATGATGTAATATCACTAAAGAAGCAACAAACAAGATTCATAATCTCCAAACTTCCACTGAATTTCAAATCTAA